GTATTTGAAAGACATAATTTGTATTTTAAACTATTTTAATATAAACTTTCACTATGTGTAACTTGCATCTTGAAGAACTTATTTATTGTGTCATTCTATTAAAATTGTTGCTTTCCTAAGAATTTCAAGGCCACAAGATATTTCTTTTATATTATTGTTCTATATGTATAGAGGTATATTATAGCATATATTTGTATAATATTGGTCTATATTTCTTGTGTAATATTAATGGAAGGGCCATCTCCTCCAGTCATGGGTTTTGATAGCATTAATGAGGAAACCTCCTGTCCAGTGGGCCATGAGACTGATTTTAGATTTATTTGGAACATTTATAGGTACTATTAGCGCGTTTCAGTTCATAAAGAAAAATTCAGAGAACTCAGGGATCGCCCTTAGGCGTAGTAAACAGTTTAATTTTTCGGGTGTCAAATCGAGTAAGGATCTCTCACTCTATTCTCTATCATGAGACTGAAGTTTAAATAAATAATAAAATGATATTTTATGCGATTTTTGCATAATTAATTACGGATTGCTAATGGAGCCGGAACAAGAAATTATTTACTGTTGTTATTGATTGTTTTTATAGTTTACCTATATGATGGTATCTTATTTATTTATTTTATGGCTTTGAATGCATGTATGGTTTATTTTACGTATTTACTGCTGAATCGAAAAAAATGAAGTTTTAATGGTAAAAGAATTATGTGATTAAATTATTAGATGAAACGACTGTCTTACTGGATATCCTATGAGATAGTAGATGAATTGGGTACATAGAAAACCCTACCGTGAACGTTGTCTCATACCGGACGGGGTATGAGGATGACCCACTTTACCCTCATACCGGACGGGGTATTGAGGTTTGGTAAATTGGTGCTCATACCGTACGGGGTATGAGGATGGCTCATAATTGAGAATGATAACTGAAAGGGTTCACGTGTAACGAAGGTATCCCTATAAACCCCCATAAATACCAGTAAGCTCGTGAAAAGAGTGGTAGTTATTGTTAGGATTATTGATAATGGATATGAATTTATAATATGTACTATAATAGCTGATTATGCATGATATATTGGTCTGTACGGTATTATTGTTTTTACAGGTTGTTTTCATAAATTTCACTATAATAAGTGAACAAGAAATGATTTTATGATTGATAAATGAATATGCTAAATTTAATGCTGCATTAGTGGTTTTCGATTTTATACCAAAATTTACTTCTATGTTGGTGATATAGTGTGATATCCTTACTAGAATAGTGTAGCTCATCCTTTATTTAATCATTTCAGATCAAGAAGATTAGGTTCCAGAGCCTGATTAGCAAGAAGATTGCGAGTAGATGCTAGATATTTTCTATTTTTCATTGTTTTCTTATTTTTTATGTTTCTTTCAAAGAGTGAATTTCGTAATGTTGTTTAGTACTTTTAAGTTATTGTATAAAGAATGTAAACCTTAACATTTTATTTCGCTTCCGCACTTAAGTTATTATCTATTTCTTTTTGAATTTTTGGGGTCGTTACAATTACATATCCGATTGGCTGCCACATGACAAATCCATTGATGATATTAGTGACATTTAACAAACATGAACTAAATGCATATACTTTTTGAAAGTAGAATGATCTAAAGGTAAAAAAGAAATAATACATAACTCAATTTTAATATTTAAAAATTGTACAAAGACCAATTCAGTATTTAGGTTGAAGCTAAAATACTATCGTTCAGAAAAAGACAATGTCATATCAGTGTCTCATTAGTTGATTTTTTCTACATAAACCATACATTAATTCTTGATATATTTTAATTATATATTTTTAAATTTTTACCTAATTCGCTCTTAGAACTCGCTATCATTTAGGAGTTGCTAACTTTTAGATACATGTTACGTGGCGCATCAATCATGACATATAAGCAATAATGTGTATACACATCAAATTAAAAATTTGTGAATTAGCAAAAAAATCCTATCAGCTATACTAGTAGTTTTTTTTTTCTTTTTTTTTTCTATATAAGCCTCTGCATTAATTTTTAATCTATTTTAATTCTATATTTTCAAATTTTTATTGAATATAAGCACAACATTAAAGATAGAATGTTAACTTTTGGATATGTTTAGAGTCATTAATTTTTAAATACATAGTTAATGACATGTCAAAATTGTGACATATAAGCGATAACGTATCATATGACATATCTTCTACATAGTTACTTGAGAATTATCTTCTTGCCATCTATCCACTTTCTGCCCTAATTTTTGAAAATCCCAAATTTGAAAATCATCTCATCGTCTCATTCTTCTTTTTGCCCATTGTTGTCCCTGAAACCAAAGAGAAAACGACTCTATCTCTTTATTATCTCCTCAAGGTAATTTGCAATGAAATGAAATATTGCAAATGAGGATGAAATTTGCAGTGTGTCAAACAGAGTTTGCTTCAATACTTTTGATTTGGGAAATGTTTATTTGGATATCGTTGTAAAATGAAATGTATGGCAATTTATTTCATTACCTCTACTAACTCACCCTGTTAATAAGATCTTGTCTTGTTGCCTCATTCCCTTGCATTAGCTCGCAAAGACAAGAATCCATCGCTTTCTTCTCTCAAATTCGTTAAATAACATTAGTATAATATATGGTGATGCAATCAATTATTTCGTAGCAGTTAAGATATGGTAGATATCACGATAAGAAGACAAAGAAGAAAAGACATGAAAATTATGTAAAAAATTCATTGGAAGATATACGTGCACTAAATGTATCCAAGAATAATAAACCTCCTATATATTCATTCATATAATATATAAAATATGAGAAAATTGTGATGCAAAATTATGTCTTTATGTAATTGTGTTAATTTAAAATATTTAAAATATAATAAACTTAATTGAATTTTTATTTGTCTCCATTTCACATTATAACATTATTATATATTAGAAAAATGTATTATATATACTATAATATAATAAAGAAGAATATATAATATAAAATCTGATTACATAAAGATAAAATTATTTCTCATCTAACAAAAAAAGAGCCACCAAACCTAGATATATTTTTAATCAAGCAAAATTTATATATTCATAATCAATATATAATAACAAGTACAATAATTTCTACTTACCATATGTTATTTAAATATCGATGATGTCAACTTACTATAAAAAAATTGCTATATGCATATTAATTAATTATTATTTTAAATTAAGTGACTGTATTAGTGACCTAATCATCACATATAAATAATTAACAAATAATTAATTTTATTTTTAGTGAAATGAGAATGAATAGTTTATCTTCTATCCTCATCTCACAGATCCATTACTTATCTTTCTTTTTTCTTTCATTAATTCTCTAACCTAAATAGTATTATTATATATATATATGTATGTATGTATGTATATACAGAGACACACACAGAGACACGCAGACAGACTCAGATCTATAAACATATTTTTGTTCACAGAACCGCGTAGCCTGCCGCTGAGAAATAAAAGAGAAACATGGAAACTAAGACGTCGGCTGAAACATCAATTGCTATGAAAGGAGGAGATACCCCTCTCAGCTATGCAAACAACTCCACTTTTCAGGTACTTATACATATACATATACACATATATATACATATACATACATATATATGTATATAAACTGTGCATGTATGATTCCTATGGTTGCTAGATGTGAAAATCACGTACGAATTGAATATATTTTTTGAATAATTCTAAATAAAAGGAAATGTTTTTATTTGCTTAGGAGAAACTTTTTATATGTATATATATATATATATATCTATTATTTGTGAAAATTAAATATTGACAATCAATCATTATTCTATAGAGAAGCATGGTGGATGCTGGCAAACAGCTTATCAACGAAGTTATATCAGAAAAGCTTGATATGGAGAAACTTGGTATTGGACCTAATTGTACCACAATCACCGTAGCAGACTTAGGTTGTTCGATTGGACCCAACACATTCTATGCAATACAAATTATCATAGAAGCTATTAAATTAAAGCATATAACCAAGTCGTCGGAGTCTTTAAACTTAGAATTTCAAGTGTACTTCAATGATAATATTAGCAATGACTTTAACATGCTCTTCAGATCTCTTCCACCCTCGCGTGAGTACTACGTAGTTGGTGTGCCCAACTCTTTTTATGAGCGTTTATTTCCCAAATCAAGTATTCATCTTATGTACTCATCGGCTTCATTACATTGGCTTTCTGGAGTTCCAAAAGAAGTTAAAGATCCAAACTCATTAGCTTGGAATGAGGAAAGAATTTATTGTGCCACAGAAGAAGTTACAAAAGCATATTCTTGTCAATTTGAAAAAGATATGAAAAGTTTTCTAAGAACTAGAGCAGAAGAACTTGTTAGTGGTGGGTTGATGATGCTTTTTACGGTAGTTCGTCAAAAAGATACCGCACACTCTCAAACATCTTCAGGCAAATTTTATGACATTTTAGGATCTTGTCTTATCAAAATGGCTAATAGGGTAAGTTATTCTTTGAACGAATGACTTATTTATACTTTTGAATAAATTATAATTGTTGTTTTGATTTGTCATCATATTTGTATTGTGTTCTTATTCATATTTTATTAAGTTAGAATTTAAATTAAGTGTTTATTTTCCTATAGGGATTAATAAGTAAAGAGAAAGTGAATTCTTTTAACTTGCCAATATATAATGCATCAACCGAGGAATTGAAGGAACTCATTGACGAAGTCAATTACTTTACGATTGAGAGAATGGAAGAGTATTCTCTAGGCTCCATAAAGATGGCTCGCGATACTCAAGTCGTAATCTCACATATAAGAGCTGCTTTTGAAGGGCTAATAAGAAATCACTTTGGAGATGAGGTTATTGAAGAACTATTTGAAGACTACACCAAAGCATATGCTGAAAATCTCAATACATTTCAAGAAAGTAGTACCAAACATAATTCGACTTTTGCTATTATTCTAAAGCGCATATAATATTATTGTTTATTTTGATTACTAAAGATTATAATCTTATTATTGTAATTATCATATGATTTAAGTAATAAAATTTTATAAGATTCAACTTTATTTAATTTGTCAAGCTTCTAATATTTGCATTTTGTATTAAAAGAAGTAACCTTTACTTTTAAATATTTTAGTTGCAAACTTAAATGTTCCAGTACAGTATAAGTGATTTGCATTTCAAAGAACTTATCTACAGTGACCTCTTGTCAGAATTGTGTACTATACATATATATATATATATATATATTTCGAAAAGGTAAATACCCATTCAATTAAGAAGGAAAACAAAGATCCTGCAAATCAAAAGAACCGCAAAAAACTCAATTGGATTATACAAAGCCTCGTTATGAGAGCATGGGCTACCAAATTTATATCTAATTTTTTACGGGGACAAAAATCCTTATTCCATTGTTCTGTGAATAAATATATTATGGGAATGATATATATATATATATAAATTTGTGTTTCCTGTAGAATTTTAACCGTAACTATCTCCAATCACCACAAAACAAGGCCATCTTTTTAAAATAAAAGTTCAGATTATCACTATAACACATAAGTTAGTTTGTCGATGAGCAAATGTTGATTTATAGGTCGTCCCCAGAATTCTATTCTTTTAAGGTAAAGCTGCGAGAATACATTAGTTTCATTCTGTAATTCTGCAGGTAGGGTCGCTAAACTTATAACAACTACATAATACATTACATACATAGTTTATCATATAATTTTCTTGGAAAAATTCAAAGAAATATTTTTTTCCATATGCGAAAATCACATATGAAGCAAGACAAAATACTGAATAAAAGAATTTTTTTTTTTTGAATGTTGACGATGTTTAATCAAACAAATATACCCTTAAGAAATGATTTATTATTGAAAGAATAAACAAATATTTTTGTTATGTCAAGGTATTAGGAGGTAACTTCAACCGAAAGCAAGATGTGTGTATATATATATATATATATGTATGTATTATTTGTAAATATTATATATTGATAATTAATTATTGTTTTATAGAGAACCTTGGTAGATGCAAGTAGAGAGCTTATCAATGAAGGTATAGAATAAAAACTTGATATTGGATCTAATTGTACCACATTCACAATAGCATATTTCGGTTGTTCTGTTGGACCCAACATGTTTTATGCAATGCAAATTATCATAGATGCTATTAAATCAAAGCATATACCCCAAGTGTTCTGAGTCTTTGAACTTAGAATTTTAAGTGTACTTCAATGATAATATTAACAATGACTTCAACATGCTCTACAGATCTCTTCTTCCCTTGCGTGAGTACTATGTAGTTAGTATGCCCAGCTCGTTTTATGAGCAGTTATTTCTTAAATCAAGTATTCATTTTATTTATTCGTCAGTTTCGTTGAATTGACTCTTTAGAATTCTCAAAGAAGTTAATGATCCAAATTCATTAGATTGAAATGAGAGAAGAATATATTGTGCTACAGAATAAATTACAAATGTATATTCTTACCAATATATGAAGGATATGGAGAATTTTTTAAGGGCTCGAGCAGAAGAAGTTGTTAGTGGTGGTTTAATGATGCTCCTCATGGGAGGAAGAGCCCACACGAGAAGAGAGGAGGTAACCCAAGGAAGAAGAATCCATGTGTGGATCAACCCCAAAAGATTTGTATATATATATATATATATGTATGTATGTATAAATGTATAGGGTTTATTTATACCATACATAAGTTTATTTATAGGTGATTGCATGTATGTTATTATATACATATCATGTAAATACAATTATTAAATCAAATTGGTTATGAAGACCAGTATGGTTGAACCAATTCAACTGGTTAAGAAATTAAAAGGACATTTTTTCTAATCGTTTCGGTCTTAGTTTTTAAATTTAAAATCGGAACTAATTGATTAATTGAATAGATTATTATAAATGCAATTCTTGAATTTAAAATATATATTATATACTTATAATACACAGAAAATCCTAATGGGTTCTATTTCCCTTTTTGATGTGATTCTCTAAAGACTCCTCTTGACTCTCCCTGTTGATAAGATCTTGTTTCATTGCCTCCTTCTCTTGCATTAGTTCACAAAAGACAAGAATCCATCACCTTTCTTCTCTCAAATTCGTATGGGAACAGGTGTATAATACATGATGATATAATTAATTACATCGTAGTAATTAAGACATACGAAATTGTGAGCGATCGGGCAGATGCCACGATAAGAAGATGAAGAGGAAAAGATAAGAATCTATCACTTTTCTTCTCTCAAATTCGTATGGCAACAGGTGTATAATACATGATGATACAGTCAATTACATCGTAGTAGTTAAGACATACGAAATTGTGAGCGATCGGGCAGATGCCACGATAAGAAGACGAAGAGGAAAAGACAAGAATCCATCACCTTTCTTCTCTCAAATTTGTATGGCAAGAGATGTATAATACATGATGATACAGTCAATTACATCGTATTAGTTAAGACACAAAAAATTGTGAGCGACAAGACAGATGCCATGATAAGAAGATGAAGAGGAAAAGACAAGAAAACAAGTAGAAATGCATTAAAGAGGATGTAAATGCATTAAATAGATTAGAGATAATGAGGGGGAAAGGACATTAAATGTGAAAACAAAGAGGAAGTTGGATGGATGGTTTTAGAGGAAGAGAAAGAGCCACATGGAAAGAGGAAGATAGACTTTTAAAATGCAATAAATAAATTAAAGAGACATTAATAAATATAAATTAATTAAATATTGGTAATAAAAAGATATTTATTTTGTTGAAAATTTCAACTCAAAAATTAAATATAAATTAATTGTAGAAAATGAATTAATAGACTTTTAT